GGCCCGCCGGTGGCGGGGAGCCCCGTCCCCGCGGGCTGCACGCGCCGCTGGCTTAAAGCTTTTGCATCTCCTCGGCCGGCGGGAAAGAGCTTCGGCTGCGCAGGGTGCGCGGTGGCGCTAGGAGGAACTTCTCGTTCCTCTGGTTCAGCCCGGTACCCTGTCTGCAGCCTGACCTGACGTTCCGTGCTCGAAGGTCCAGGCTCAGCCTTGCGCTCAGGCTTTTCGTCTTCCCGACTGCAGCTTAAGCAACATCATGGGGATTCAGGGCCTACTCCAGTTTATCAAGGAGGCTGCTGAGCCTACCCACGTGAAGAAATACAAAGGGCAGACGGTAGCTGTGGACGCCTACTGTTGGCTGCACAAAGGCGCTTATGCTTGTGCTGAAAAGCTGGCCCGAGGGGAGCCAACAGATGTGTAAGTCTTCCTTACGTTTCGGTCTTGACCCTCTTCACAAATCAAAGTTTTGTTAGCTTGACATTTTTTAACTTAAAAACTAAGTTAATGCAGTTCCACTTCTTACTGTTGCTTATGAATTCTCAGTCCCACTTGTACCTTTTGGAAATGGAAATGTTAGCTTTCCAACTGTGCAAAATAAATATTGAAGTATATATCGGGGGGAAAAAACTCCTTAAAATGTTTTCTATTAAAACGCCAATGGTTAGGTGATTTAGTGTTTTTCCAACATGTCTCACATTCAATTATAATCTAATCTCTCTGATGAGATTCTGTAGATGCAATTCATGTTTCAAATTTGCTGTCATTTTCAGGAACCTTCTTTTTACAAAGTGATAGTTTGTAAACACTGCTGTGAAAAAAGTTGAAACGATACTGAGTAATTCTGATAGATGTGTTTTGAATAAGGTGTAAGTTTTTTTGCTCAACTTACTATATTTTTAGTAAGAGTACCTGTTTCTACTGTAACAAGGAAGGAAACAAACAGAAATTGTGATCGCCTTTCAAATTCAGATTTGGAGTTTAGAGCAGATTTGCATAAGTTCTTGCCTGTCTCTGGAAAACTGGGTTGAACTTTTGCTTTAGATTGAATATATAGTTTTAAATGAATATTCATCTTTTCAGAAATAAAGCTACACTGATCAGTTTAGATCAAACCACTTATGCATTTTTGATTCAGTGTTTGATTGGAGGCAAGAAAGAGTTGGTGGTTTGCAAATGGGTTCAAATCTTTTCACTCCTGCTTCTACTGTTATGAAGAACTGTATAGTTCCATATACCACCCTGCTACCTGCCTTTGAAGGCAGTGGAGATCCCTCAGAGTCTTGAGAGTAGGATACACTTCAATTGAGAAAGAAATCAACTGACAGGAGAAATATTAATCATAGGAAACTTTGGAATGGTTGAATTTAACTACATTAATATTTTATGACAAAATCTTGTTTCCATGCATATATGGTTGCTGATCTTAGACTGGCACTTTAACTATAGTGTAGAGAGTCCTTTCATGCTTTAAAATTCATCTGAATTTAGGTATTATATAGCTACAATCCCATTTCCTCATGTCTTTCACAAATCATAGTTATTTTTTGGTTTATGTTTTGTATAAATCCAGTTTCTTCAGTCTCATATCCTTATAAGTGCTCCTAAGTCCCACACTCCCTCCCCTCCCAGCCCCCTGTTTTAAAGGTTGCCCTTGCTGTTTTAAACAGTGTCCTCAAAAGAAAAGGAAAACTTTCTTTTTTTTCCATTGAATGTCATTGATTTGGGAGGTGGGACATTTCTCTTGTTTAAAAAACCAAACAAAACAACAAACCCCCAAACCCAAGCATTCAAGTGTTCTTACTCTTTTTGTGATGCTGCAGAAGTATATGGCCCATTCATATCCTTGAACAATAGTCCTAAATTTACAGTTCTCCTTTCCTGCATGCAGAAAATATGCAATAGACTTGTGTTTAACAATACAGTTTATCTTTCTTTTCTTACTTTTGTTATTTTTCATACAGTTACGTAGTTTTCTGTATGAAACTTGTTGATATGCTCCTCTCATCTGGAATTAAACCAATTTTGGTATTTGATGGATGCACCCTACCTTCTAAGAAGGAAGTGGAAAAGGCCCGGCGAGAGTAAGTACTGAACTGTATTGATTTACAAGCAAAGCAGTATGTTTAACACTGCAGTTCATTTTCAAAGTTGAAAAGCCTCAAGGTTCCACTAAGTAGTAAGCTCTGATAAGCTTTCCTGCAATGTAGTGTCATTTCATTTAATTTACATTTTAAAATCATACAAACCTCTTCTTAGAGGTTTTATTCCAAAAATAGAAATACACCTCATAAATGAAAGCACTTTTTTAGAGGAAGGAAGTTAAACCTCTGAGCATTAGTTCCTGTACTGTATTAAAGGCTTTAGTTTACTCCCCCTTAAGATCTCTGGACAAAGATATTTCTTCCCAATATAATTTCGTTTAAAAAGAACACCACCTTCCTAATCTGTCTCTGTCAGATAAACTTGTTTCAGGTTTGGATTCAGGTCCCTATGTAATGAGACTTCTCACTGAAACAGTGAGAATTTTTCTTTAGTGGTTTTTATTTATAAATTCTCATGGGACATAAGCTTCTTTCAGCATGGAGGAAACAATTTTTGGTATTTGAAATGAGGTAAATGATGCCTTCTGTCCTCTAAAGCAGTAAGTATCTAATGTCAGATACTCCCAAATTCCATTAAATATTTTACTGCAAACTGAGAGTGGGTGCATCTCTTCCTTAAAACTGCTGATTTCAGTTCCTGAGTTGTCAGCGTTTTCTGATAAAACATTATAAATTTCAACATGCCAATCTAATTGTCCCTGTCAATACAAAGATTTAGTTATTCATATGTTTTAAAAAATTATTCAGTGGAACAGATTTGAGAAGTGTTACTTGCAAAACAAATTTGGTTTTCCCCCTTTCCCACCTGTCTCTCTTAGTCTTTTCTGCTATGTGTTCTTTTAAGTGAAATATAATCTGAGATTGGTGGATATTTCTGCTTTTCTTTCAGGAAGCGTCAAGCCAGCCTTCTAAAGGGGAAACAATTGCTGCAGGAAGGGAGACTTTCAGAAGCTAGGGAATGTTTTGGACGCAGTGTAAATGTTACCCATGTTATGGCTCATGAAGTTATTAAAGTAAGTCGTTAATGCTGTTGATAGCAACAGTTTTTTGGAAATCTACGCAGTACGTAGCATGTCTTACTCTGCTTTTGTATGGCTACATCACTACCTCTTCTTTGTAGGCAAGAAAGTACTTCCCCCTTCTTAGCCTCTAATAAACTTTGCTTCAAGTTTGTTATGGACAGTTCTATAAATAATGATGATTTGTCAACTGAAATACATCTCTTCTTACTGCTATGAACTGACTTTGATAACACCAACAGTTTTACTTTTGCCTCACAAAAACTAAAAACTTTTTTTTTTATTTTCCCCTCAGCTATATTCCCCTGAAAATAGACTGCAGAAAAAAAAATGGCTTCTTAAAAACCTTTCTAGTATCTTTGTTATCTTGCCACTGCAGTCATAGGATCTTTATCAAAATAGTATTACATTTGTTCTAGTGCTGTTTTCCCTTGTCCAGACTATAACTTGCATGAGTTTGAAGCTGTAAACCTGTGGTCAGATGCAATGAGCATAGTGATACAGGCCAACACAGGAAAGGTTTTTGTGAACTAGTCTGTGTAGGTCTAAACTGCTTGAAACTTGAGTTTTGAATATGAAATATCAGGCTCTAATTGGGAGGATGAGTGTGTAATTGAAAAGATTGCAGTTTCAGTTTTTTTAACATAGAGGTTCTTATGCTTTCAGATGTCTTAAAGTAATTACAGAAAATTGATGCAAAGTACCTGTGTGCTTCTTGTTTACGTACAGGCTGCGCGAGCCCGGGGAGTCGACTGTATCGTTGCTCCTTATGAAGCTGATGCTCAGCTGGCTTATCTTAATAAGATTGGCATGGTTCAAGCTATAATTACAGAAGACTCTGATCTTTTAGCTTTTGGATGTAAAAAGGTATGGAAGAAGACACTAATAGCCTTAACCTTCGGCTATAAGCTTAAAAACAGAGTTTGAAGTTGCCAAACGGGCTTGATGTATGGCTTTACTCTTTTACAGCAAATGGAGGAGACAGGAGAGATGAGAGTAGCACTCAGCCTGTTGTTTCCTCCAAGTGCAACAATTTATCTTATATGGGTGAAAATGATTGTTTCCACTTCCTCTTAATTTCCAGGTGTTTCTGAAAATTGACAAGTTTGGAAATGGACTAGAAATCGATCAAGCTCGACTAGGAAACTGCAAGCAGCTTGGAAATGTATTTACAGAAGAGAAGTTCCGCTACATGTGTATTCTTTCTGGTTGCGACTACCTCTCATCCATTCATGGAATCGGGTTAGCTAAAGCGTGCAAGTTACTAAAATTAGCCAACAATCCAGATATTATAAAGGTAAACTTGGTTTCACTTTGTGTATTGTTTTTTTGGGAGCCTATATCAGTATATATGAAATTTACACTGAAATAAAAATGAGGGGTTCTTGACTTTCATCTTGAGAATGCTAAAAGAAGTAATTTTACCTGTGCTTTAGAAAGATACTGAGCTAAACTTAGTCAAGTGTTGAAGCTATCTAATGAAATACACCAAAGTAAATGTAAATGAAGAATTATGCTAATCCTTCAAGGGTGTATTCTATTTGAGGAGAGACTTAATTTTTTTGTAAGGCTCTGGAATTATTTTCTCTCCTCATTACCTGCTCTTGTTTTTGCAGATATTAGAACTTCTAATTGAACTCTGTTACTTTTGCATAAATACTTTTATCTGTGTGGGGCAGGGATTGAGAATCTTATCTGATTCCCTTTTTGCATTTAATTACATACAGATGGATACAGACATTTTTTCCGCAGTGTTTTTAATATATAAAATTTAGTACTGGGCAGAATAGAAAAGGTAGGTGGTTTGTTTTCCTATTCAGTGCATGAAATGAAAACAAATCTAGTATTAGGAAATACAGAGGCTAAGAGAGCAGGAATAAGTTCTGTGTAGGTAGTAAGGAAGAAGAGACATTTTTAAGAGCAAATAAGAAAAATACCCTATGTGGCTGTCTTGAAGGCAGGTAAATCTAATCTAGAAAAGCATTTAAATATGCAGTCTAATTAACTTACTGTATTATCTCTAAGTTACCTGTATGCTTTAGTGTTTTTTTTTCTCTCTCAGACTGTACACTATGATGTGTCTCTCTCAGGCTGTACATAACTATGATTTTTAGTTTTAAAATGTTTTGTAGTATTATAAAGCAGGCATCAGAACAACTAGTTTGGTTGGCTTTTGTGGAAGTGAAAAAGGAACTTTGGAACTTTTCCCCTACAAACGATGGTTTCCTTTAACATCTATTTTTGAGTGAAAAGTCAGGATTTATAACTTGAAAACCTTTTTATTTAGTAATTTGTCATGTGATTCATCACTGCTGTTTTCCAACAGTGTTGGAAAGTCATGAGTGAATCAAAAGATACGAAGTAGTCCAACAGTGCCTGTTCAAACTTTTACTTCTTAATGAGATGAGTAAATTTGCCTGTGTTTAGGATGCATGGCCAAAACACAGCTGATGTCTTATTTGGAGAGGAGGAGAAACTCTTGCCTCTCACAGTATGATAAACTTGATCTTCAAAAGAACATAATCTGCCTTCTGTGAAACTCGAAAATGTAGAGGACAATGAATTATTAGGAACTGCTTTTAGAGTGGTGCAGTAACAATATGTAGGAGGGGCTAGCAGATCAATGTGTAGTCTTCTGTGATGAGTCATGAAGGGTGGGGGAGAAAATAAGAGTTGCACTGTGTTATTTATGTGACTGTAAACAACTTGAGAGTGGGAAAACACATACAAAACTATTTTCCTTCCTCTGTTTAAGATGAATCTTCTTCTTGTAACGGGACACATATTCTACGTTTTAAGGTTGTTTTGGTTTTTTTTTGACAGGTTATTAAGAAAATGGGGCAGTACTTGAAGATGAATATAACGGTATCAGAAGAATACATACAGGGTTTTACACGAGCCAATAATACATTCCTTTATCAATTAGTTTTTGATCCTGTCCACAGAAAATTAGTTCCTCTGAATGCATATGGGGATGATATTGATCCAGAAACACTAATTTATGCAGGACGGTATCCTTTGTGATGAAACAGCAGAGTGGGGAAATAAGGGTGAGCAGATGGGGTGTCTTACACTTTTCATTGCATCTGGGGTGTACTCGTAGTTTTCATTACATCTCTGTAAGTAATGTTAAGTAAAGTCTAGATTTTCTGCAATCTTAGATAGTTGGGGTTTTTTTCTTCTTTTCTCTTTTGCAGTGATTTTAATTAATAGAAAAAAGTGCAGGGTGTAACTTAGTTGACCTGTCATTGACATAGCATTTTAGGTAGAAGTTACTGATCTTTTTATTCTTAGAAAACAACTTGTTAAAGTACAGATTATATTTAAACTGTTTGAGTTGCTTTACTTTCTTTAATTACTTTCTTAATTTCCTTAATTACTTTTCTTTAATTTCTGCCTGTGTTATAACCTCTGCCAGTTCTTTAATTTCTGCCTAAGTGACTTAGTTGCTAAATCTTGCAATCAGTGTTCAACTCATTTCCCAATCTGAGCGCTTCCTGTTTTACAGGATATCTCTTCCTGTAGAACAAGCAGGATTTTGCCACATTTGTGCAGCATAGATTTTGGTGTGGAAGTTTAGGAAAAGGAAGAAAGAGACTGGACTGTTGAAGTAGTTACTAGCTTTGTATGTTCTTTAAACCACCTAATCTCTGGCATTTCCAGAAATTAGGAAGGAAAAAGATGGTAACTTTCCTGTTGATGACTGAAGATTTCCTTTTGCCTTTTGTGATTTGCCATGCACTGCAGATCTATTACAATTGCTGTTGCATCAGACTGAGCCATGAGTGGTATTATTAACGCTTTTGGTTAATACTCTAGCAGTGCTTTTTAGCACCAAAATAGGAAGCAGTTATTCTAACTTTCATGCTATGGTTCTTGAAATTTAATATAATTTCCAGATATTTTCCTTTACTCTGATGGGACAGACATTTTGGTGATGGTACTGCTTTTCAAATTGCCATTGGCAACGTTGATATCGATACAATGGAACAAATTGATAATTATAACCCTGACACTGCACAGGTAACATCTTTGTTCTGAGATTTTATATTTAGATTTTGATATGGGCTTGAATAGTCATGGAAAAATATATGACTTAATTATCTGCAGCTGACTTGGCAGTGAAAGCTGTTCTGCTATTACAGAAACTGTATGCTCCCCCACACGTTTTTTAATTCTTTGTACAGGTAAAATCTTACTTTTCATGGCATTTGACTTTAATGTTTGTTTTACTTTCAGACTTTTCTGATAAGTCCTTAATACTATTGACAGAAGTAACTGATTTAAAAAGAAAATTCTCAGAGATTTGGATTTCTTCCAAGTATATAACTGAGGAAAGTATTTTCCCAATTTAGGTTTTCTGAATAGAAATAAAATTTAAGCTTTTAATTTTGTCTGAGATGCCCCATATTGGAATGCAGAAGTCATGAAATTGACAAACAAATTTGTATGAAAAGTGTGACAAATGTAGGAACAAGAAGAAAATGTTTGTGTAGACTGTGTTGCTAGTTGTGCAAATGTCAAAATGTCCTTATATGCTAAATCAGGAAATAATATGTAGAAGACAAAATTATAAACCTATGTCTTGTTTTTTACGTATTTTTTTGTAGCCTATGCAGCAGAGAAGTTGTGGCTGGAATGACAGACCTGCTAATCATGTAAATAGCATTTGGAGCAGAGACTATAAGCTTGGCCCTAATGCAGATACTGTTCCTCAGAAAATGAGTCTACTAGAGAAATCAACAACCAAAGGCATGGAGAAGATCATTAGTGTTAAAGGGCTAAAACTTTCAGGAAAAGAGCTCTTGTCAAAAAGGCCAAGGAATGGTATGTTTTTATTCAAATAAGTGTATAAATAACAGTAGAAGGCCGTGGGGAAAGAAAGGATTTTATCTTAGACATGATGGTGTGAGATTTTAGAGCCTAACTAACTTTTATTGCCTGCATTATGTTTTCAGCAGGCTGAAAGACTAACAAGCCATAATATTAAAGCCTATGTAACAATTAAGGGTGGCAGCAAACTTTCAGCAGCACTTGATTTTAAACTTTCTTTAATTGCTATAAGACTTAGTCGTTTTCAGTTTTGTCATGCTTAATACCATATGTTCTATTTTTAAATGTTTATGGTTTTAATCTCCATTTTATACGGGTCTGTGAAGAAATTCAAATAGCCTATTTTTCCTGGAGTTGATTTGGCCAAACAGAAAATTTAAATAATCTTTTCCATACTCTTTGAACACCGCGATGCCTGTATCACCCATATACATATTCTTTACATCAACTTTCTCTAGTAAATCTGTGCTATCTAGTCTTCTACACCACCTAAGGTATATGTGTTGAAATAAACTGAGGGTTTTTAATAGAAGGGGCACTTCTTTGTTCCCATTGTGCTTTTTCTGACATATTAAGTATTTTCTCTTCCTCTGCTTCCTTTGCTTTCTGATTATGCTACTAGAGCTCCATGTTTTGCCTCTGCTACTCCTAATATCTTCCTTCTCCCTGGTTTATCAAAATTTGTAGTTAGTCTAGCAGCCCGCCCTTAAGTCAAATTTAGTTTTGCTCTCAAAGTGTTTAAACATAGTATTTGGTTTTTTCATTTTGTTTTTTTAATTTTAGCTGTTCTGCATTCACTCCATCTACCTTTCCATAGAAATTTACTTTGAAGGCTATGTACTAGAAAACAACTGTGTTAAAGACTTCTAAACTGTAATGTCAAGAATGTTCCTACCAGACGTTACTAGTGGTTTTAATCCTGTGAGAGTAAATATGTAATGCTCAATTCTCTCGTAACTGGTTAATTCTAGAACATGCTTCAACAGTGATGCTTAAATTGTCTTTAGATGTAGAAGAAATCTCCGATGGAGATCTGTTGAACCAGTATTCATTTTCAAAAGCAAAAAAATTCAGGAAGGAGGATGATCATGGTGGTCAAGCACAAAAGAGTATCTCAGCAATACAAAGCCGTGATTCTTCAGGGAATTCTGTCACTCAAGAAAGCTCTAACTCCCTACCCAGAGTTAGAAATAGATTTGCTTCCTTTCTACAAAGGAAAAACAAAGAGAAGGATTCTGTAATTGTTCCAGGAACAAAAAGCAGGTATGCTTACATCATATGTTTTAATAAGTAGCAAAATGCTATTTGCTGTCCTGGTTGCTGAAATAATCTGGATACTGAGAATGAGAAAAATGCTGACTAGGATGTTAATGCAACTATATTAATACACCTGTAGTTCTGAGGTGAGATGGAGAATCTTTTGTGCTAGGCATGCTATCTATGTGTGAGATAGAGTTAATAATGTCAATTTTTTACTGCAGAAATGAAGATTGTGAGACCATTCAATACAGCCTAGTCTCCAGGTATCAAAATTAATTAGGAATTGGCCATATTTCTTGTCCAGGTGGTCATGTGACATCTAAAAAAAAATAAAAAAAGAGTAGCTGCTTTGTGCCAAATATGTAAGCAGTTAGTGAATGTATTGACTCATGTTGACAGGGTTTTTGTTTCAGTAAAGACAACCCTGGTCATGCTTTATGACAGATACATGTTCTTATTCCATCCCAATCAGTTGATGCTTCTGATCTCTGCACCAGCACTTAGAGAAGAGGGACTTTGGCTTTGTTACCTTTTTTTTAATTGGCTGTGTGTTATGGATTTTTTGGTCACGTTTGACCACAGCTACTTGAATTGGTTTTACAAAGCATTATCATAATTTATGTGTCTTATTGTATAATTTTTATCTTAAAATTATTTGAAAATTTTTGAGCAGTGTAATTTTACAGAACAGCCTTAATGCTGATGTTCTTTAGCTTTAATACATACCATCCTGAGCTGAAAGTTTTGTTATGTTGCATCAAAAATTAGTTGTCAGTGATGGTAGGTTCTTCTCTAAAACAATGCTCAGTTTCTTAAGAAGCTCTGACTCATACTTCTAGGAACTACTATTACATCGTGGAAAAGAGGCGCTGAAGTGTTTAGCTTTATGATAATTAATGAGTATATTCTTAAATTTTATAGGATTCCTAGATGTTTCTCTTTTTCAGATGAAGAATCTTATTAGTATTTCAGTCAATGACTGACGTGTTTGCAGATGTGTTTTTCCCCTTCTTTTACTGTTATCTGTTAAATGACTCCCTGAGGGACTAAAACAGCCTATTGTCAAAATAACTTGTGTCTTCAAGTGCACTTCAAAAATAAAATTGATGGATATAGACAACTATTGGATTTTGAAGACTACATACTCATTAGCAGTAACCTTCTTCTCCCTTGCCTTTACCTTTCTTTTTTTTTTAAATTTTTTTAGGTTTTTCTGCAATGATGCAATTATGTTTGGTGATAGAGTAAAGGAGGATGACAGTGATGTAACTCGAGATGCTGAGCAGGATTGCCAGAAACAGGAAGTAAAACATGTAGCAGGGGATGTTTCTCAGTTTTCAGAAACTGAAAAATCAAGGACTATCTTTACACCTCCTGGAGAAAAGCAGAAAAACTGCTTCCAGTGGTTTAGCAGCCTTGCAAATAATTCAGGAAATCCTGGTCCATCTCATACTGTGTTTTCACAGCAGTTTCACCAACAGAGAAGCAACTGTATGGTATCCCAGGAAAATGAGATTAATGGGGTACAAACAGTGAGTGGGGCAGTGTGTGGTGAATTGGAGGAAGAATCTTCCCTCTTAACACAACTGGAACGGTCATCACAGACTCAAAGGTCTAGTGAGTCATTGGAAAGCAGTCCGGAGTCTTCAGAAATGCTGCAAGTGTCTAACAACGGTTCAGATGCAGAAGTAAGAAAACTAGACATTGTTTCAACATTTACTTTCACTTTAAATTATAAAAGAAATTGTCTTCAAAATTATACCCTGCAGACTATGTAGCTTGTGCTAACAAAACTTGGCAGTGCTTAATGTAGTTGTGTAGAGTGGATTGACTTACTAGCTTAAATCCAGTCTGTTCTCTGGTTTTAGTTTGACTTCAGTCTTTCCACTGCTGTTGCTACAGTGGGTCATAAAAAAACCTGGTAGACTAGCTTTTGTTTTCTGTTTGTTTTTTTTTAGTCCCCAAATAAGTCCTTTTAGAAAGCATATGTGTGTCCACATAGCGTTGCTTGCTGAAAATCAGCCTAAGTTTTCATATAAGTTCTTTGATTTGCTGAAAACATTCTACCTTATAAAGTATATTTGTGTAGATATAAAAATATATATTGAGTGTGTAAAAAGAAAAAAAAAAAACAAAACAAACACACATACCCCCAATCCCTAAAAAAACCCAACCTGTCTTAAAACTAAATGAATTTTATTTTGATGAAGGAATCTGACTCCAGTTCAAAACTGGCTGATGATCAGTGTACTCGGTCTCCAGTATTTTCTGCTCTTCAAACTGACAAAAAGAATACAATCATAAAGACCAAGGTAAGAATTCTTTTAACTCTACTGTGAGCTTTACTAGACTCTGAAAATAATTTTTTTGTTGTCTACTAGTTCATTCTAGAACTCTTAATGAAATAATCTTAAGCAATGTGCACATTGGCCAGAGAAAACTGTATTCTGTTTCATCTCTATCAGAGCTGAGATGGACTATAACCAGGCTATGTAAGATTGATATCACAGTTGCAACTTGTTTGGAGATTTTAAACACTTTAGTATAAAATAAGAAACCAAGACAAGGCAAAACGACTTCTTAATTTTCATCAGGCATGCTAAATACACAGGTTTTATGATGCAAATTGCAGTCACCTTCATAATTCAGATTATTAATCTGGTTATAATTCAAGTCACAAGATACAACCTAATTTCATTGCTTGTCTTGATGAATCTTCTAGTTTAGCAGTCTCCTTCCTTTTTGATTAGAAAAAGCATGATTAAATTTCAAAATCTGGGAAGGTTTTAGTCAACTTGTCTTTGTGACACAATTAAACAAGAAAAGGCACTTAAGAGCTTTACCCATTTGTCTTAGCTTACAAAACTTGTAAGACTTTAACAGTTAAAATGTCTCTGATTCCTCAAGCATTGCCATTAGAATTGGGCAAAAGATTCCTAAATCAGAGGAAGATGTTTTCATCCTTTCGTGTACACCCCTATGAATAAAAATCACAAGCTTCCCTCTGCCAGAGAAGACTAGTGTGTGTATTTTGTATAGTAGTGACATCTTGTGGTTATTGTTAGTAACCCGTGTTAAGATGAAATTTCTCTGTTCTGGAACAGCTGATTACAAAAAATGATGCTTTTTCATTAGATTAACATAATCTCAACAAGATTGAGCAATGAAATGAAATCATCCTGGGATTCAGAATTTTATTACTTTGGTTTTAAGAATCTATTTAATAAGTTTTGCTCACCTTAAAGGTATATTTTGAGAATTAATATACTAAATATGAGGGAATACTTAGTATGGAAGTACTAGGTAATATAACCATCAAATATAAACAGATTTTCAGGATGCTTGGAGCTCTTCAGACAATAGGAATCTGCTAAAGATCTGTGAGGACAGTAGTGTTAGTTTAGAGCAAGCAGCTAGTAGGAGGATTTCCCTGCTTATTTCCTTGGCCATGCATTCCCTCTGCTTTCTTTATGTGCTGGTAATAATACTTACAATGAGTTGAACCAGAAAACTGACCTCACTGTAAACTAACTTGACAACAACAACCAAAAGGTCAATCATATTGGAACTCTGGCCCACCCAGACTCTTGGGCTCGTGTAAATCATAACACCAATGAGACTATTGGAACAAGTAGCCAGAATTGAAGAGGGGGCAGGTGTAGATAAGGAAAACCACTTTTGTCTCAGTTTCCCTTAGGCTTGTTTACTGCACATATAAAACAAGGGAAATCTTTGCTGCTACAGTAAAAGATACAAAGGGAATAATGAGTTCCAGATTTAGGGAAGAAGCAGTCAATCACTTAAATTATTCTGACTTTGGTAAGCTGAATGACATAGCTGATCTGTAGAGAAATTCAATAATTGGGGGAGGCAATCTGGGGAAGCTGACAACATTTATCATGGTTCCTGTCCAACATGTGCAGTGCCTAGCTAGTCAGTTCTGATATCAAAAGTAATAGAAGCTTTCCTCTTAACAAATGCGTATAAGGTAGTGAGCTCTCTAGGACCTTTAGTTTCTTCTGTGAGGGTATTCTGGCTATGGTTTCTACTGCTGATTATTTTCCACAATTGCTATGGGCTCAGCAAAGAGGCTAATATTGACAAAAGAGACCAATCTATTCTAGTTTTTAGTTTCTTAGAGGGTGTTCAACATGCAGCTTTGCCTACTTGTTAGCTAAGTTATAACTCTGTAATTCAGTACCACAGCAAAATGTAGGATTATGGGTGACTTCACGTGTGTTGCAAAAGAGCTGAGGTGATAAACATCAAAATATTTCAATAAAAAAACTATAAAAAGTGTGTAAAGAACTTCCTACAACTGTAGACAGTCACCATCTCTTCTGTGGGTATGGTATTTTGCTAATTATGTTTTAGTCCTCATAATGACAAACAAAAGCTAAAATAGCAGGCTAGAAGTGAATGTGATCACTTAGAAGCTGGTAATTTTGAGTAGTTCATATTCTGCAACAAACTGGCAGAATGGCTCAAACTGGTTTGAGTAAAACTAGTTTGCCAGTCCTTACAGCTGCATTATGTCTAATGTGTTTCAGATGCCATTTTTCAGATGATAGAAGCTATCTAAATATACCTTGTTGTGGCAATTCAGGTTGCATTATCTCAATACAATATCAAAGCACTTTATTTTTGATTATAAGTTTTGCATCATAATACCTGTTGCTTACAGGTTGTCATTTTAACCATTTGTGCTGTAATATTAAAATCTGACAGGTTCCTGGTTTACATAAGTCCAGTTGTATAGGGTCACGCATTGTAACAAAGCTCAAGCCATTGATACCAGCTAAAGCAAGTGGATTAAGCAAGAAACTGTCACCTGTGCAGAAGAGAAATCACTGTGATGCTGAAAATAAGCTGGGACTGCAAGCCACCATTAGTGAACTCCGGAAAAACTTCCAGTTTAAAAGGTGAGTTTCTTTCACCCTTTACTTAACATCCTGTATACTTATTTTTCCAAAGAAACAATTTTCAAAGCAAACTCTACACGTATCCTCTACACACATTAATAAAGACAATAACTTGATAGATATTTTCTACATACAATTTTTAATTTTCTAAGTTTGATAAAACCATGGAGTATGATTGCTGGTAAATATGCTCTTCTAAATACGTTTTCTTTCTAACCAGGAAAAATTCTGAGCTAAAATTCATGTATTTGAAGTAGTATATTTAGTTTAACATAGTTTATATGAAAATTATTACCACTGTTTGACATTAAATACCAAAAGGCATTTCTTAGTCCAAATGCAAAAGCTGCATAAAAGTTGCCAAACTTAATTGAATACAAGGTTATTTTATTTAACTTTATGTATCTCTCACATTTTGAGATGGCTGTTTGTCAGAACTGTTCTGCTTTCAAGATGATGCTGAATTGATGGAATATTTCTGTTAGCTGAAGTCTCTGGTAACACGACACATTTTTGCACATTATAAAATGCTATTGTGTTCCCTTGTGCAGATGTCTTAGCTAACTTGAAGTTTCTGCAAATAGCTTCAAGGTTTGAAGGACAATGACTATTTAAAAACCAAACCAAACCAAAACCCAGAAAGTGTAGGTGTTTCCACGGGCTCAGGTAAAAACCCCTGGTCACAAAGCTTTCCCAGCTCCAAATAGCAATCTTAACTTTGAATAAATAAGACTTATTTAAATAAAATTATTCTTGTAAACATGAAACCAAATGTGAGAAGGACAAAAGTCTTCTCTTTGCACAGAGTAGTAAATGTGAGACTGGTGAGTACGTGGTATGTCAGTTGAATATATTTTTGTAAGTTTGGGTTTTATGGTAGGCTATTACAAACATACAGCTGATTTCTGTTTAAAAAATATTATATTACTTGCTGTATTAACATTTTTAGAAATCTTACTTCTTATTATCCTTTTGATGTGTGTTAAGAATGACAGTTTCAAAGAGGAAGTGAAAGTGTTTGTGTATGTATTTCTTGACCTCTAATTGGGAATGTCTGACCAGGGTTGGTCACAGGGAGAAAATTCATATATTTTTGATTTATCAAAGTACAGGCAGATAGAACAGAGTGAGCCTAGATGGCGCTCCGTTACTTTTCGCTGCTGATGTTGCAAGATTTAGCTCCCAACATCCACATTTTATCCATCCAGTTTTGGTTGGTCGTAACTTCTGGGTATATACGGGGGGTATATATTTTTGTATATATTACTTCTATGTAAATAAAGTACTTGTTTATATTAGCTTTTAGGCGATTGTTTTATTAATTTATTTCACAAAAAGGTTTTTCTCACTGCCAGGACTTAACTGAGTATTCCGTTTATTGTTTTTTCAGATTTTAACTTGTTTCTAAATTAGCCTTATATGTTAAGAATTATATTGTTTGATGGCAAATAAATCATGTGGAACACTAATCTGTTCTGTCCTAATGTCAAGACTGACATAATATTTATAAAACTAGTTATTAGGAAGACTTAAATATTAAGCATGTGCAACCCAGAGTAGCATGGGGTACATACAGTCTCAGATATAAAGCTAATAGTTATTGTTCTGTCACAGGATAACTGGAACTGTTGAAATCACTTTCAGTGAAGTTGTTCAGCTGTACTAAAATTGAAATCAAAAGTTTCCATTACAATTTTTTTTATTTTGGGCTTATTTATAGATGGGTGGGTAGTTAGATGAGGGGTCTTGTTTTGTTTTAGCTCCTATGTTCTTACAATCCTGTGGTTAGAAACGTACATTATCGTAACATTCTTGGGTTTTTTCTGTCTTTTTTTACTGTGCAGAGAGTATGAAAAACTTCCTTCTTGTAAGAAGTCTGATCCATTGTCTCCAATCAAAGAGAATATACAGCTCACTCCAGAAACAGAAGAAGAAATCTTTAATCATCTGGAAAAACGTAGTCATGTTCAGAGAGCCATATTCCAATGAACTGCAGGCTGTGTGCAACAGGATGTGTTTTTAATCATTGTTAAAATTTATCTTCTGCATATTATATCAATGTAGAAAAGATGCTTTGAAAACCAACAATATATTTTAGTCTGACTAGTGATTTGTCTTTTTTTTTTTTTATAAAAGCATGAATTGAAAGGTACAATTCTTTACTGACTGGAATAAAATCCTTCAGATGCCTGTGTTCCCTCATTCAAAGTCCCATGCTAAACTTTTGTCCAAAACTTTTTCAGCCGCCTAAGACACATATGCAGTTCAAGTTTCTGCCTTGCACAGCAGCAGCAAAACAAATTTGTGGTTTAATTTTTAAGTTGATAATTTTTTTTGTCTCTTCCTTCTTTCCTCTTGAGCCTAATTTGCCTCCAAGACAAGAGTAAAACTGCTGTTCAATGGTTATAGTAGCCTTCACTATATTTCCAGCACTCTGATAACTATTTATTTTTCCTATAAGGTAAGATCTGCTCTCTCAGCAGTTACCTTTGTTTGATACAGTCATTTTATTGGTGGGAATAACTTGGGGACTGCAGAAAGGAATATCACAAATATTTGGTCCCCAAATTCTCACATTAATAGAATGATCTCCGAAGAATTATGGTGCATTCCTCTGTTTCACCTGCTCTTTCCTAGTTTGTAGTTTTATCCAAGAACACATACACAAATTATCAGTCACAACTAAGGGTTAAAAAGAGCATTGTCCTCCCAACAAACCAATCTTCAGTGTTCAACAGCTGATGAACTAAAGGGAAAGACCAGGAGACTAGGGTCCTTGCTTTGGATGACTGAATTATCATGAAATAATATGATGGGATTTCAAATATCTGTCTTTAAAATCAGGATCTGTGTCAATGTAAAGATATGTCTAATTTTTTTTTTTCCTTGTTTTAGGAAAGGATAGTATCTATTTCTGCAGCAGATTGAAGGTACTAAAGGATATCTTAACCCCTGAACTGTATCCTTTCCACTCCTGAGATCAATACTTCCCCTCCATCTTTGATTTTTTTGCAAAAATTTGAAGTTTGAAATTGACCTATGAGAGGCAGGGTTCTTTTAATTGCAACATAGTTTTTTCTCTTTAAGAGAATTTGTGTCTGTGAAACTAAGGTGGCTGGCTGCATTAAATTGCAAAGAACCTGCTTACAAGAGTAAGTTATGTGTATGTGGGAGTGGTCCTCTTATTTGTGTTGGAAGGTGTGGGATATAAGGAATTGAAGCACTGATGTTCTAGGACAGGCTTCCTCTCGTATGTGTACCACTAGAAAATCTGTACTGAAAAGCAGAGTTTTTAACACTGATCTTCAATAAGAATTTTTATCACTGACAAATAAAAGCTAGGGATAGATGTTTTTGTTTGTCCATTGTAGAACTATTGCCTAGAATAAATTTTTGTGTGTTGCTGCAAATGTGTTAATAATGACAAAATAAGTTTTTGAAGGAGAAACAAAAATAATTTGTTTTTCTCCACTGCTTATTTGTCAGTGTGGGAGTTGCAAGGTTACTTTGTACAGTCCATCTTTGCCTTTTGCCTGCCCCTTCAGTCAAAAGAGCCACTTATTCCTGCTTTAATGGCTCATTAGAAGAGACAAACAACTTGTGGCTGTATTTTCAAGGACAGATAATTTTAAGGGAGTATAGGACATCTTGAATACAAGCTACATGTATGAAAGCAGTACTACCTCTTTTAATTCTGTTGCCTGCAAATACTGCATTACCTGTTCTTGTAGAGCATTTATTGTGAATACCATGACTTGTTTTACTCTAGCTTCTTTGAAAAGAGAATCAGAGGAAATAAAGAAAATGCTATACATCCATCCATATTGATACTATTTTGTCAGAAATGGGTGCCCTGTTTTTTTCTGTATACCCTGTATGGGCAGGAGAGTAAAAATATGCCTTAAATAATAACTTACTGGAGTGTTAGTTCAATGGTAGGTATTAGAGGAATTATTCATGCAGTGCAGAAGTGCTTCTTGATTATATTACATTGTATAGTCTTAAACTAGTTTTAAAAATACTTAGGTATAATTTCTGACTCGTGTCTTGGAGGTCTTGGGTTCTGAATTCACGTTACAGGGAATTCTTTTCAGAAAGCAGCTGAGAGTAGAGGCTTCTATTATATTACATGTAAGTATATGATGCATGTAAGCATATAAGAGCTTGTAAGTTTTATAGGTAAGTGTGGAGTTCTTGGACTGGTATTTATTTTATGATATAATAATATATATGCAAATGAATTTGTGCAAGACTCTATTCCTGAGCTAAAATTGACTCCACGTAAGGTAATATTCTATAGTAAAAATAATTCAGTATCAAAATAGGAGAAATTGTTACAGGTATGGGGGGAGGGAAAGATAAATAAAACATGCTGCAATTAGAAAAAAATAAAAAAGAAGAAAAGAAAAAATTTTGAGAAAGACAGGTCAGTTGTTTTAAAAAACAGGCATTTGAAAGCTAGAGGATATGAGGGTGGTTGGAAAACAAGAAATGAGTAGGAGGAAATGAAAGCAGATGCCAACTTGGAGGCATATGTCTTTGTTTGCTTCTTAATCTAATACTCTTTTTGGAAATCAGAAGAGGGGGAGAATATTTGCAGCAGGAGTTAACTGCCAGAGAAATGTGCATATATATCTGTGCATATCTCTATAGATATTTAAAATTTGTCTCCTTCCAGCTCAGGTAGAAAAGTAACTTTTCAGTATTCAGAGGTTTAAAATTATTCTTTTTGGCTAATGTAGTAATATTTCCTTTGAGTGAAAGATAGGCTTGAGAAAGGGTTACCTCTCCTGGTGTGTTTGCGCAAAGTATTAAAAATAGGGAGGATTCCCCTGGTACTACTGCAGGAGAGGTACTAGGTAGGTATTGTTCTTAATATTACAAATCCTATATAACAGTCTTCTCAATTCAAGAATATTCTACTAGAGACCAAGGTGTTCCATGCTTAAGGCATGTATTTAAAACTATTTACATCCTCCCAGTGTCTGCAGAATACATATTCTAGGCATGGAGTGAACTTTGTCAGATTTTGCAAGAACATAAATTAATTTGAGATGTAATTAATGACTTCTGTAAGGAACAGATTGGAACACCTCTACTGTGCCCTGCATATCTTATGTAATACAATAAAATACACTATTCCATCTGTTTAAAATCTGATGCTTTATGTATGTGCTGCATCTAAATTACTTCTGTTATGATTTTTTTATAATCTGTGATCGTGTCTTAAAACTAAATTTTCACCTTCACTTTAGATGGAAGAATAAAGTAGTGTGGTGAATGACATGAGTTACTGCCCCATTTGGAGTAGGACCTTCTTCCGTGTTTTCATTGCTGAGTTCATCTTATGCATCCCAAAATGCACCATCTGAGAGTAATCTCCAGTTCTTTTCTGTGGAAAGTGGACTACACATTTTCTTCCTTCATATCTGAGACAGTAAGAAAAATAAGGTTTGTAGGCTAGAAATGCTTGTCAGGGAGACTTGCCTTGTGTGAAGGATTAGTTTCTGTTCCAATAGCTCTCATTCTCCCCAGAGTCCAGTGCTCCAGGCAAAATGTTAGTTTTAACAGATGTAAAATTGTGGATTTGGAACGTGGCATATACCTCTGTGAGGTCCTGTTTTGGGAAGGATTCTTTAATGGCTTCAAAGTAACTGTGTTTAGTGTTACGAATGGACATACGACCTGGAGCAAGGCACTCTCAATGTTTGAGGTACATAGAGGGTATACGAGTTGGACAGACAAGACTGAGTGTGGGAAGATTAGAAGTTTTATTCTTTGCATTACTTTGAAAACAGCAGGAGTTAATATTAACTCCTCTACAGCCTGTGTCAAACAGGAATTTAGGATTTTTATTTAGTTTGTTTCAAGTCCAGTATCTCGAGGAGCACCAGAGTTTGTTTTATAGAAGGCATCCAGTTTAAGTACTTTCAGTGAAGGGTAAATTGTTTCAACACTTGTAATAGCACAAGTTCTCAAATGATGGATTTCTTTTTAGTTTTTTAAGTCTAGCTTGCCTTTCATCCACTGGCTTGTGTTATTTTTGTCTGCTGTATTAAAGGAAGTCAGTTCAACAGTATTTATCTATTGGTTTGTTTTTCTAAAATGATGTAACTAAGGGAGTGACTAAATGTATTTCTTCTAAGTTCATTCTAATTGGATTTAATTATACTATTGATTTCTCTGAAAATTATTATCTTTCCTCATTAACGATTTCTGTTGGTACTCAGTAGAATTCAATATTAAACTGAGAGAGCTTCCGGATATACAGTAGATTTTACCATGTTGAAGGCAAATGAATTTTATTTTTGGTAGTTCTTTACAGCTGGAAGTGGATCAGAAGCTCTTGTCTGGCCGCCTCATTCACTGCCAGAAGATGTCAGTACCTCCGTAGTGGTGAGGGAAAGAAATATGGCTCAGATCTTAAAATGTTTGGGGGGACTATTTTTTCCTTCTCATCAACTCATGAGTTGAGAGCCCACTCATAGGAAACTAAATATTATTTTATTTAAAATAAAAAAGACTGATATATGGAGCCTTTTGATAAAATTTTATTTTTACAGTAGTTAAGGACTTGCTTAAATGCTTATTTAAACTAACAGCATCATTTCTTACATAACCAGTATTATCTTGGAACAAAGCCAAATGGTAGACAGGGGAGATTCTGCTCTGTTGTAGTTGGATTGACACTTCATTCTCCTGTTCACTTCTGCATGCAAGTTCTCAGACATGGAATTTGGAATGCTGCTACTCAGAAGGCCAAGAACTGGCATCTTAGGGAGTTTCAGCATCTTCTAGGATTGTTTCTCTACAATACATTCAACTGGAGATTGTGCATACATTTTTGTGTGTAATAATAATTTAATTAGTGATTGTGATTCTTTATGGTCAAGGAAAAAAAAAGATATATTACAATTGTATTTGTAACCATCAGACAAAGAAGGAACTCTTAAGCAACTTGATCTAGTGAAAAATGTCCCTGCCCATGGCAGGGGGGGGTGGAACTAGATGATATTTAGGGTCCCTTTCCAACCCAAAACATTCTATGACTGATTTTTTCAACCTGAATAAATACACTTCCTGTGTGTAGAGTTGTAGTGCCTTGATTTGGGAAGATTCTGGGAATCAAGAATGCATTACCAACTTATTAATTTCATTAACTGGCATTGTCACACCTGAAACTGCTGAAACAGTTGTTGCTATACTGGGGCTAGTAATACTGGCTAAAAAATATATTAAATTCTAGTGTAGAAGGTAATATTACTGAAA